GGCACACTCGAGGACGAATTAATTATCGAGGATTAGTGTCTACGCATTGACACACTGAAGTCGTGAGTAGTAAAAGCCTGGTTTAAAGGTCACTAACTGCATTTCTTGTAACTAAATGTAGGAGATGCCACAGCTCCGATTGACGATCGATTGTTCTCCCGCAGTTGTTGACTCGACATATTACTCAAACTAGAGATGCTTGAGATCTGCTTCGCAGAGATTTGTTGTATCTTTTGTAGGGAGGATCGATTCATAAAGTAGTTGTTGTATGCATATAAATTGGTGAAATATGTTTAATGGAGGCGGTCTTATATTTTAATTGCCTGTAGAGCTTGATTTTTTGTTCGCGAGGAAGATGGGATTATGCAATGTACTGTAGGTATTGTTGATTAATTGGGGTTGTAATTAAATCACTTATGTTCTGTGACTTGGTCCCCCAAATATTTTGTTACACAATGTGATTATAATGAATGCTGATATTTACTATTTATCACACAGTTACGTAAATGCCAGAACACTATGCGTGTATAGCAACTGTTCTACTGGTGACATAGCTATCATACAATACTTGTACGTGAGAATTACGTTAATGATGTCATTGGTATTAATGATGATTGGTAAAGACATGGTTAGAATATGGAATGGAATTCTCGATGCTACAGTATATAGTAATAGCGATAAAAATACATTTATTTCTAAAAGTAGGAGCTATCGTTTCGTTTAGCACGTAGCTTGACAATAAAGTCATTGATCTACTTATGATAACAAAACTGCGGTCCGACCTTCTGGTGCAGAAAATACCGACATACAGTTGATGCTGTCTATAGTGAACCGAATCTAATAAACTTGTCATAGCGTTATCGTGAAATTAATTCTCTGATGATTATACTCCATATTTGTCGGAGGATTTGCCAGGAAAAAAAGATCAAATACTCTCGATCAATAAGCAGTATTATTCTCAATGTTAAAAGAAAATAATAGTGAACAAAAAGTTCGGATTGCAATAAGCTCATTTCTTTTTTGCTGAAACAAATGACTAGCTTTTGATACGTGAGAATTATGGAATTGATACACTATGACTAACACATATGCATGCATTATTTTGATAAGAATATATAACGATAATGTACTGGAGGTAAGAAAATGATCGGATTGGATATTTGAACAGTCGAGCGAGTTGTTGCTATTATTATTGTCGTTGTAGTTGTAGTTGTTGTTATTAGAAAAAACGGCGGACAACTTTTTTTTCCTGTTGTCTTTCTACCACTAATACTATGAATAATCCGTGACCGAATTAAAATATTCTCTAGAATTTGGGCTATTGACGTTTTGCCGGCAGAGAGGGGAGAGCAAAAGAAATTTTATCTTCTAACAAACATCCTAATCGTCAGTCATTGCGGTTCTCTTTTTCTTTTTCGGACTTTACTGCTTCGGTTAAAAATCCAGTGCCAAATAGTTCGGCTTCTCTTAAATAATTCAGTAATCTATCAGCTTTCTCGTATTAGTTTCTTAACTGCTTGCTGATTAACTTGCTCTTGTAATTATTGGCTTAATTTTGAGCCTGACTATTGTGCTGATTATTATTCTTATTTCAGTGCAAATTAAATTTGTGGATTAATATTTGGCTAAATTGGTAACAAATTTTAGAGCATGAATTCCGCCGGCAAGTAAGTGGTAATCATTCTAACATTTCTTTGACCGATTTATTTTTACTTAATTGGTCGCGGTAATAATAAAGGATGAGGCACACTACGACAAAAAAAGAAAGCATGGGCAAATTCTTAAGTGTTATACTAGTAAGTTGGTTTTTTCAACAATCGGTCCTTTCTAAATTAGAAAAGTCGGTAATAACCAAGTTTCCTCTCCTAGATCGTTTTTACTAATGTCCAGTCAAATTATTCATTCTCTTTTGTTAAAGAATATTTATTATCCAAATATTCCTGAGCATCTCGGCTTTCTTTGCTAGTTCTTTTAGTTTATGTTTATCAATTTTTTGAGGGCCATGTCCTTTTCCTCTTATATAAGCGGCAAAATGATAACCATCCGGAGTTAAGCCAGATTTAATTTATTTCCTAGTTTCATAATAACCAAAATTTACATCCTTTCATTTCTCTCATCAAACTCTTCATTGTTGTTATTGATAGATTATTAGTAGAACGTAGTATATTTGGGAAAGTATTTATTTCTGTGCGATTTGACGTACAATAAAGTTATATTATTATCGCTATGATGGTTGGTTTGCACGCGATGTGCATTCATGATTGGGTTTTGATTTAATAAACAGGATATAAAGTTGATGTTATTATTTCGGTTATGGATTTGCATGTTAATAATTAAAAGTATGGTAGTGGGTATTTCGTGTATACAGTCACAGTACAGTCACATCTCCCCTACAGTCATTTTCATAGTGATTTTCCTCCCTTAGAGTCACAATCATATGTGAGTCACTGTCACCCGATTTTGGAATCCCCACCACTATGGCACAATATGAAAAATTCCCCTTTACAGTCACTGGTATTGTGTAACATTCAAGGTTTAGTGTTTATATTTCCATATTCAGCATAAAGTGACTAAAAGATTGAAAATTATGCATGTACAATTACATGATTGTTGCTTTAAAATCATCACATATTAGTTCTCCTCATTTGAACCTCGATAATGAACATGAAATTTATGAATATATTAAACAACATTCAAAAACAAAGTATAGCAAACTAGTTTAATGAGAAATTCAAAGCGTCAATAACAAATTGACACTTACTTGGAAATAGTTTTAAAAATTTAAAGAGAAAAGAAATAAATTTAATCACATGACCATATGCAAACCTTCTATACAGTCACATTTCCATACAGTCACCAGTTTTGCCTGGTCTCGACGGTGTGACTGTAGGGGAGGTCGACTGTATATGGTTAGAGTTGCTATTGTTATTCGGAAGAATTATGCTCCGTAAGTCAGGTGGAAAGTTTTTATTATTTTAAACATCTTGACAGTATCACCTAAGTGTGGCGCTGTACTACTTTTAAATAGAAGTATTATTTATTATTTGATAAAAAATATCGAACTGTTGGGGTAGCAAGAGTCGTGCTACTTTCTACAACAACGGATTACGACAAGTAGCCACAACGGCAGCCTACAACAAAGGAGCATAGCAGACAATCGTATGGTACAGTCAACTTTGTTTATACCGGACATGTATATACCGGAATCTCTCTATACCGGACGGATTCTCGTGCACCGTTCGTTTCATATGAAAATCCTTTGTTTATACCGGAAATTTATTATTATTATAAACTCTTCATATACCGGATATCCGGAAAAATTTTGAGGATCCTCTAGCGCAAATTACTGTCGAGCCAATACTCGGGGAATGACTGATCCACTTGGCTCACCATATAGTTTTGAGCGGATCAAAACACCTTAGTATTAGATTGGAATGTCATATGAACAAAACGGTCTAATTAATGTTGTAAGGCGATATATTTTATTTATAATTTATTATAAATATATATATTTTTGTTTATCAAAATTTTTTTATATATAAACAGTGGCTTTCTGACAAGCATTTTTTGCGGCCCACCATAGCAATAGCTACTAGCTACTAGTATCTAGTAACTTTAAAATTGACAGTTTTCGGCGTTGATCATTGCCAAAAGATAATAAAAAGAAAGGTTTACATCGCGCAGATAGATGTTATAGGCTGAGGTTGAGACAACAAACAAAGAAAGTGTGGGTTCAATCTTGCACGTTTTTAGCGGTTTTAGCTGGATGCTAAAAATTATACGTAATAGCAAGTATTAGAAATTTTTTTTCGATTTGAAGCTTTTTGTGATGTACTGTATAAGGGATAATAACAAACTCTTTACTATTATCTGGATAAATGACTCAATCTTGTTCACCAAAAACTTGCGTGATTTATTCGAATCGTAATAAGAACGTTATACATATTCAATATCCATTGAATAATTTTTATTTAACTCGTTGTACCACTTCGCGACGTTTGGAAAAGAAGAATAAGGGTATCTATATTAATATCAGATTCGCTTTTGATAAGAAATTCCAAAGATAAAGAAATTGAGAGCTCAGGTATTTTCTTCTCAGTTGTAAGATTGAGATTCGATTTTGGTATATCTTTATCACTTGAACAGGAACGTTTTTCAGATGCCCATCTATTTTAAGTCTCAGTTGTAAGTTGTTTATTACGGTCTTTTTCTCTATCAAGTGATACCTTGAATTCCTTATAGTGGTCTTTCCAGAAATTTTGTGAAGTAACCTAAATCATAATTAGCATGTTGTCTTATAAATTGGTAAAAAGCTTGATAAGCTAGCATCAAAGTCTTTACGAGATAATATAGAAGACGTGTGAAAGCCCGAAGAAAAGCCTATGCCCCGCAAAATTTCTTCTAAAGCGATAACTTTTGGCAATAATGAATCGCAAGAAGCTTTTTCACGCGAATCGTTCTCAATTATGAGTCTATGTTTATTACACAAGTTATCTAGGGAATCCATAGCCTGAGTCAGCGCGCTGTACGCGCTTCGCATTTCCTTTTTAGAATATATCTCTACAATCTATAGGCTGGATCTATATCCTCCTCTCTTTCTAAACATTCTCGAATTCTATTCATCCAGGGCTCGAGCATTAGCAATTAATGATATCTAAATCCTTTTTAATTGCGCGTACATTTATTAACAACTTCTTACCTTCATTGTCTTCTGTAACCGTTGAGTCTATAGAAGGGCAATCTTCAGCAATGTTAATGTCATAACCGAGGTTATTCATTGTCTGATTGACGGTTTGTCAGTCCCGCAGATGAAGAAGAAGACGACGATGAAATCAAGTTTCTCTTGCAATTCTGCTTCCCAAACCCACTACAGTTTATTTATATCATTTTTCTACGCTGCCATGTGACCGGATGATATTTACATTTTAAACTAATCACTATTATGAATGATAATATTTTACTAATATAATAATTATACGTAATGACAGTAATAGTCACAGTCATGGTCGGTTCCATGCGCGAACATGGTACTCATCTTTGGCAAGAGAGGGTGTCAAATATTGCACAATATCAGAGTAATCTTGTCCCGGAATATCTTCAAATTTGAAGCGCCTTAAAAGTGACGAGATTATAAGACGCATCTCTAACAAGGCAAAGCTGTTATAACGTATAGACGTGTGTTAATATAAAATTTTAAGTTTATCATGTCGTAATACGAAATTACATGTGTAAATACAAATGAAGCCTACTTCTGTCCAATGCAGTTTCTCGAACCGGCCGAAAACGGATAAAATGCGTCATGTGGTATGTCATCATTAAACCAACGTTCAGGGATAAATTCATTAACATTTTCGCCCCAGTATTCAGCCGAATGATGAAGAGCGTAATAGTTGGCGACTATTAAAGTACCCTTAGGAAAGAGTACACCGTTTACAATTCTATCTTCTGTTGGTGAACGCCCGCTACCTAAATAATAGTGTATCATCTATTAATAAAGTTACTGTTGTTGCGATAGCCTTTCAAGTCGCATCCTCGTGACAGGTCTGGGACAGAAACATTTCAACGCGTTGAAGAATTCGCTAGTTACCTCCATCTGTTTAATGAGAAAACAGTTATGGTAAGCAAATACGTTTAAATCAAATTGAATGGCAATTTGGACTTGTCAACTCACCCAAAGTAATAGGCCATAATCTCAACGTCTCGTTTATGACAGCATTTAAATATGGCAAATTCTTTAGCCTCCCATGATTCGGTAGTTCATTCCTTGGTAAATCAACAAATTCGTTGTCCAACTCCTCGATAATCTTGTGTAGTTTACTCGGATGGGTTAACAGCATTATCAGAGCAAAGAACGTGCTAAAACTTGTCGTGTCACTTCCACCAATAATAAATTCAATAATTTGTTCATAAATATCAACATCCGTTAATGCTTCTTCTCCTTCTCCTTCCCCAGCATCAAGAATAATCTGAAGAATATCTTTGCGGCGAGCACCAACTTCTTGACGACGTCGTCTGATGAGTTCGCTTGAAAACTTTAAAAAGTAGGATCGATGAGTATGGATACGTTTACCTAATACGTTAGAACCGCGTAACGCACGCAGCGTATACACTTACGTCATACAGATATCTATTACTCTTTACGAATGGTTTTAATATTGGAAATCCATTTCTCTATGTATATATGGAATCAAATTGTCAGGCGAGCTTAACGAGCATAATTAAATTAATAGAGATCTTCCTTGAACCATACAAACCAGGACGCGCCTGCTCAATTCCACCATAACTTCTTTCGGTAGCGGATGGTCTCCTTCTCTAATCATATTAAAACTACTTCCAAATGCAGTTTCACCAATTGAATCCTGCAATTTAAGGTAACGGGTTACGACGTTAAGTGATAAACCATTAGCAGCATGCGACAGACTAGTCATTCTTCATTGACGTACCAGAGTTGTATTAACAATCATTCTGTACAAGTCTATTACCGCGCCATTCGGTGAACTTTCCTGAATCAGCGAATCGATCTTGTCGTTCAAATTACGAATGCACATTGCCATATACGGTTCAAGAGACTGAATGTATTTGATAGAGAAAGCTGGTGCGAGCAATCGACGCTGCATATTATTCAAATGTAAATGTAGAACAATTATGTTGGGAATAATAATCCGCAGATGCGTCATGTATTTGCGTATTTACCCGTTGTTTATGAAATGCTTTGTCGCTGATTTCATAAATGAGAGTGTCACAATTAGATGCATGTGATATACAGCACATACCATCAATATAATCACAATCAGGAGAACGCTTACGTGGTCGAAAACAATGTGTGTAAATGAGGTGCAGCTCTATACATCCCGTAGAATTCACCTTTTGGCCAATCCTGATAATATGACAATATTGTGTGAGACAGCATCAAACCACTGGGCTCGATATCTGTACCATACTTACTTCTTTAACTATAATCTGAGATCATGAAATATAACAGACCATTAGCACTTGTAGCTAATCCAACGGTATGCCAATAACACAACTTTATACCTGTTTGACAATGTCTCTATCACTGACAAGAACCATGTCCGGGCCTAAGAAATTCTCGAGTTAGTTGCCATCATATACCATAGAGTTGATTCGTATTAGCACGACCTACCTATTCTGACTATTTTCCCATACTTAGGTCTTAATTCACGTTGATACCAATGCCATCTAATAAACAACGGTATTAATAATAATAATAATGGTAGCTAAACTAATTAGAGTTAATTTTCGGAATTTACCTTTTGCCTTTAGTGCCCTTGAATAAAAGAGGGATCGCGCTTAACGCTGAAAGCTTTGGCCCAGGGATCTTACTCAACGGTCCAAAGAATGCAACGTAAACTGTCTGTCGAATTCACGTATATGTTTACGTTATATGGCGTATAATGGATTCAGCACATAGCAAGCAGTAATGCGGACAGGTAGTGTTTCTTACTCGGAATATATACTTCAAGAATAATATAACGGAAATGATTCCAATCGTCTTGACCGCATTATCAACATAGGGGGTTGCCATTCTAAAGAGTTGTCACCAAGTACTACGACACATACATTGAGAACGGCATCATAGAGATGACCAATTATTATTATACTACAACGAGTGCCAATCATATTCCTGTGTCAACGCGAATTTACACATACCTGCCAGCCAAGTCGTACAGGCTCAAACATTATCCCTTCATTGGACGCTCAGATCTCAGATGCATAAATAAGCGTGTCGGGTTGTGCGACCTGGCAGGTAAATTCCTGATAATACGGGTGTGTCTGATGGCCTTTTCTCCATAAATAGGCGTGTCGACCTGGCAGATAATGTCGGTGTGATGTGTAGATATCGGAATTAAGCCTCTGTTTAAGGGAGAGAATAAATTGACATGGGGGATACTATTCTGTGGCTAAAGCGTAATATCGGGTCACGATAGTCAACGCGAACAATATTCTCGATTCTTTGTGATATGCTTCTAGTTAGATTTACATAAACGTGTTCGGGTAGTCGAACGCAAAGGCTTGAAGTATTGTAGCTATGAGATTGCATTCGTTTATTCATTTGCAACATACCACAGGATATTTAGTTTAGTGTATTCGAAATAATTGTACAATTCGAAATTTGGAAATCACAAACCGACTTGTACCTGAACAACAGTCAGAATATCTTTGCCAAACTTTTTCATATGAATTGAAAATGCTATTCTAAAAATACAATATTGGTCTATAACTGCATACAAAAATGTGCACTTTTTTTTTCCCTTGAGACGGTAGAGTTTTTTGCTATCAGCCTGTATTCCAACATATTAATAAGCATAGATTCAAAGGAGTTGCAAGCCAAACTACAATGGGAGAGCGATTGACAATTAATCTTGGCATTTAGCGCTTTTGATCGAAGCTTGGCTAAACTCGACTTCTTCTAAAAGTTTTGTGTATGACCTGTACTGCAATGATTAAAACGGACAAAATAAGCCGCAAAACCAACGATGCTGACTATGTAAATTTTGCCAAATTTAGTATGTCCAATAAATTTACGATATGCCTTTACTACGGTACACACAGCAAACAAATAACTAGATCTTGGCCAACTATAGTTATATTGCCTTGCTTCCAACTTACTTGCAAAGCGAAAATGAGTAGCGTAATTGAATTACTTGCTGATGTTTCGTTGGATTATGAAAAGCTCTACGAAAGTGGAAAATATACCGATATCTCCATTCATGTCGGACAAGAGCCAAACAGCAAGATATTTTTTGCCCATTCTTTGGTACTATGCACAAGAAGCGCATATTTTGAAGACAAACTGACTGGAAATACAGAGGTCTCTAGCGAAATTCAACAAACTGCGATGGTGTTCAAAGACATTACACCTGATATTTTTGAAATTTTGCTTAGGTAAATCTCATTTGCAAAGTTTAAATTATACCCTACTATAACTAGTTGAATATATTAGTATGCGAATCTACACTAATACACTATTACTATATATACTATCTTTGTTGTTATTATTATTATTTTACCATTTTATACAATGTGTGCTTACATCTTGATTACTTACACTTATTCGTAGATTTGTTTACTCAGGAAAAGTGTCTTCTCATTCATGTGAGGGCGTATCTTGGATCGTTCTTTTGGAAGGAGCTAATAAGCTTGGGTTAAACTCTTTCTGTACTGGGATTGGAGATTATTTGATCAAACAACATGAGCAATGGATAAAGCAAAACATTCTCACAGTTTATAACTATGCAGTGTCTACAAACTCGCTACAAAGACTTGTGGATTATTGCAGTCAGCTTATGTTATCGTCTCCAGATATCATCCTCAAGTCCAATAACATGGCAAAATTACCGACAGCGATCTTCATTAACCTTCTTAAAAGCGATAAACTTAATATGGATGAAGGCGATGTTTGGATGTCAGCTGTACAATGGGCTGTTAACCAAATCTCTGGACTTGCAGATAATCCGACCAATTGGTCACCTACTGATGTTAATGCAGTCAGAGAAATAGTGGCAGAATGTATACCTCATATTAGACTTTTTAACATTTCATCTAAAGAATTTAGTGAAATGGTTGTTCCATACATTGAACTATTCCCAAGAGAGTTGCGATCAGATTTGCTTTGTTATCATATGCAAAATAACTATAAACCAAAAACGCAAATTTTACCGCAAAGGAAGAGACAGCAAAGTGATTACAAATCAACGAAGCCAATGTTGTCACAAAGGAAACTACCTGATGTTGATTCAGTTGTCATTAACAAACAACAAGAATTATGGATCTTACAGAAAATCGCAGAATCAACACAAAATGACCGAGTTGAACAAGATCCAGCCCATGAACAAATTGTTCCTTATAAGCTGACCCTGCTTTATCGAGAAAGCAGAGATAGTAGTGGTAATGATGAGACAATAGCCAAAAATTTTCGGCGAATGTGTACAAATAAAGGACCGACAATTGCTGTAGGAAGAGTAAAGGATACAGAAGAAATACTTGGTGGATATAACCCGTTATCGTGGGGTACTAGTAGTAAAGGATACGTTTCAACTAAAGAGAGTTTTGTATTTTCACTAGACAAGAATGATGTCGAAAAGAGTATAATAGGGTTTGTTCAGGATGAAAAGTATGCTATTTACGAATACTCGAATTATTTGCCCTATTTTGGTCATTCTGCTTTATTTTTTGGTGGCGGCTGCAAGGGAACGTATTATACACCTGTCGCTTACAGTAACAGTAATTATCAAATTCGAATCAGGTCTACTGGCGATAGATTTGTATGGGTTGATTGGGAGGTGTTTTCTGTTGATAAATTTATAGCATAGCATAGCTTAACCATTAGTTTATTAATTAGTGAGGGTGAGCGAATGAAAAAGAGCATATAAAATACACAAGCCTTTGTTTATATTATTTGGAAACGCGCGCGCTTGAAGTAAATAAATTGAATATCGTAAAAAGTGCGAGTGTTCGGTAGACGGCCCGGCTTTTATTATTCCTAAGCCCCTTGACGGGCTTTATGTATGATGATCTAAGCTTGGTTACAAATTGCGCGTTTATCTTGGGCGTTTACCTGTTATGTACTGTCGTTTTATGCATGCTTTGTTGTTGTTTTTTTGTAATATATATAATCCATTCTTCGTTATGCCTAGTCTAACTTTAGACTAACAATTATAGATTTTAGAATCTGGAGGGGAGATAATTTTGCGGAATGACGAATTCCATGTCGGACGGCGTTATATGCTTATCGTTAGACACCTTTTCTGTACGGAATAATGGAATAACTCTTACGGTAGAGTAATACTTAATAAATTTACGATTGGAAATGTTCAGCAGGCGTTTTATTGGTTGGAAATCAATCCTTTGGAACTAAAAACTTATTTTGGTTTATTATTTAGTCAAATATATATATTAATTTGTTTGTGTACATTTTTTGGAAAAGAGTATCAGGGAAAATTTTTTATAGCATTTTTAGTTTCGTTTTCAAAAATTTGCGTTAGATTTGAGCCTTTAGCTTCTAGAGCAGTATGGTTTGACTTCGATAGAACCGGAAGAAATACTTAAATAAGAGAAAATACTAATTACTATTCTGTGAGACTTTTTTGTGACACACCAACCAAGATTGGCTTGTGCTGTTACAAGCCCTTCATGCCTTTAGAAAAAGATTCATGTGTCATATAGAAGTCATATTTGTTATAATTGTTAAGAGCATAAATTAATACTTGAATAATAGTAACATCGTGAAATCATCTCTTTTCTCCTGTCGCTGCTAAAGTTTTATGTAGTATTAAACAGTATTTAATATTTGAAACATCCAGCACAGCATAACGCTAAAGGTAATAATCTCAGTCCATTTTTAAGTCAATCTCGCGTCTGCTCCATCCCAAGGTCTGCATCGTTACAACATATATGTTATTTTTATAAAACAAAGCCGAATATAATCGAATCCTATTTTTATCGGCCTTTCTTTTCATCGAAATTAATAATTTCCTCTACAAATACACAGACGTCTTTATCATGAAGAACATGGCTTGTTATTTCCAGTTTTATATTTAAAGTGCAAGTTTAACAATAACAACCGATTTATTTGACTATTACACATAATAAAATTTTCAATCTCTTTTTCTTTTCGCATTGTAACTATTATCTTCTATTAATAATAATTACTTAAATAAATACATAACGTGACGAATAATCAATAGTAATAAGTGGATAAACAATCGAATAACTCCAACCGGCGTGCCAAGCAGCAAACTCACCTTTTATCTCTATCAGCTTCAGAGACAGATCCTTCACGAATAGCTAAGCAATTAACGAATCGGACCCTCAAACTCGCTCCGCCTCCGCCAAGTGTCCCACTGGATCTAGTCACCGGCAAACCGTCAGTGGAGAGAGAGAAAAAAAGAGAAAGAAAATGGAGTTGGTCATATACGTAAAGCAATGCAATACTTACCTTATACTTACCCAAAAGCTTTTACCCGTTATCTAAAGCTGTGTAAAAAAAGAAAGAAAGAAAGGAGATGACTGAAGAGTGTTCCCGTGACCCACTCATCAGACCCATGCCAGATTTCTTCACCACTGGTGAGAGTGGTGAGTAGAGGGGCGTCACCGGCAACTGCCCGCTGCCCGATCCAGATCCGCTCCCGTCCACCAGTTGAGACAAGAGAACAGCCACCTACTTAAAAAGCAATAGTTTGTTAGTAAACGATTATTTATCCACTCACTACCTATCACCAAATCACGTCTATCGTCGTTCCTCTCGAAGCCAACTCCTCTTTTTATTTCCTCCGCTTCGCTTTGTCAGTAGTTGAGACATGAAGTTAGGTCGCTTGGTTATCGGTGTGCTGGCAATATCTTAGTGCGCTGATGAGAATAATAATGAAGTAAAATATTCAGAGTATAGATGGCGTCGGAAAAACTTTTCGAAATTGAGAGGTGACTCGTATGTAATTCCTAAGTAGTATAAATAAATATAATAATATATTTTATGACGGGGCGACGAGAAAATATTTGAAAAGACTTGAATATCTGAATAAGTTAGTAAACTTACGTGTAATACAATTTTCCCGAACTTTTTTTACCGCATTATCATTCTACCCGGTGCGGTCTACGTTGATAATGAAGAAGCATATTTGCATGCGGAGGGGCGGAATATTTGTTCTTGTTATGTGGTCGATAAAACGAGTCGCCGTTCAAAGACTTGTTTGAGAGTTGTAGCAAATCGTTGTATGTGCGCAATATGGAGTGTCGGCAAAGAGTTGTTGCGTTGTATATTCAACTTTTAGATAACATTGTATGAAGAGGAGAGGTTGAGTAGCGTTTTGATGAATATGTGTTTATATAGTGTCGTTATGTGGTCGATAAATCGTGTTGTCGTTTTAAAGATTTGTTCGAGAGTTGTAGCAAAGTGTCAAGAAGCCTGCTTTGATATCGGCCAGTTCGGTACTAATAATAACAGAGAGAATAAATGAATAACCATATCATCATAGTCAAGGACCACGTCTACCGAAGTCAGGGCCGGGTAAACTTTGCATGCTGTGGCCACGATGCGCTTTCAATTCAGTGGTCCATGTATCCTATTCACCACAAGTCCGAGTGTGATAAGCTACAGTCGGCGTTTCGGAACGGATTACGAACGTTCACAACAAGTAAATTATTTAAATCGATCAGGCCCCCGAACACAAAGTATTTTTGAGTGTATCCTATTCACCACAAAGCTGAAGTAAGAACAGCTTTTTTCGGTAACGGGTTTTGATTATTTTACACCCTATGTGCTTTTAAACCTCCGATTTACATCTAGTGGCAGCTTACCTTCAGATACACATACTAAGTTATAACCCGAAAGATAAACAATCACAAGTGTGGCCCGATGCGCTTTCGAATAATCCGATTTTTACACCTAGTGGCAGCGTACCTAGGATACAAACCACTCAACAGATACCCAGTAAGAGTTCTTACCTTATGCTCAAGCTGCCTACGGAACTCGTCTTTTAAATGAAACAAACGCGTCGGTGACCGTCGTATGAGCGTAATATGAAGTGGCGACGAAGATTTGTTACGCTGTTTGGATATGCGAGGATCGGTTACGTGGTTGATAAACTGTGTCGTTTCAAAGACTTGCTTGTGAATTGTAGTCACTGTCGTATGTGCGCACTATGGGGTGGTGGCAAAGGTTTGCTACGCTTTCTGGATATATGAGTATCGGTTACGTGGTCGATAAACCGTGTCGTTTCAAAGACTTGTGCAAAGTGTCGTATGTGAGTAATAGCGGCGGCAAAAGTTTGTTGCGTTGTATATTGACTTTTCGATAACATTGTGTTTGCGCTTTAGAGGGGAGAGGTTGTTGTGAGGCGATACATGTGCAATGGAGAGAAGTGTCTGGGTATATATGTACAGTATGTATAAGTAGACGCGAGCTCACGTGTTAGATGATGGGAAGATAACATATATTGATACTACATGATATTATCAATTGCTGTCGTACGCAACCTTATAAGTATAAATGTCGTTATCTATGCGTGAGAGTCTGTGACTGTTGACCAATAGCAAATATTGTCATTTGCGACTGTCACGATTGTTTCCGTAAATAAGAACAATGGCATCAGTGTAACATTCGGGGAGCACATGCAGGAAAATATTTTTCACTGGTTAACAAATCCGATAAGCCACGCAATTGTGTGATATAGCGATAACAAAAGCGCCCATTCCTTATGTAGTACAGCAAGTAGCATAAGAAAAGCGTAAAGTCAGTCTGCAATTGTCTATCCGGACAATAATTAGACGGTGAATAAGTTTTTTTACGTACCATATTTATATTATTATTGTAATAAATGTTCGATATATTGCCTGGTGTAGCACATCATTACGTTATATGATTGTTTCCGTAAATGCTGAGATAAGAACAATAGTATCAGTGTAGCATTCGGAAGCACACATAGAAAAAATTCGATATAATAATTCCCGGATTTGCAATATACGAGCATGACGTAACTTTTCGTGACGTATTTAATATTGCATAACGTAATTTGTGACGTATATTCCTATGACGTATTTTAGTTTTTGTTTTTTGCAAGATGTACACTTTTTGCGACATGTTTTACTTATGCCAAATCAACTTCTTGCGTCATTGGTTTATATTCAGAATACCCATGGGTTCAGAGTGGAAAGCTTTGATTATCAAATACACGAGGAAGCAAGGATAATTTACGAAGTATTATTCAATTGATTATATACATCAGCAGTTAACGAAAGCTTTTATTACTGCCAAGTTTGATAATATTTTAAGCGCGTAGCACGCAAGCATCCCAGAAATATTATATATTATACCAAAGCAGGCGATACACCTTTTATTGCTCATGACTTTCTAGATGAGTATATAGAAACAGGTATGTCATACCATGAAGTTTTATACAAGTCCAAGCAAATGGAAGAGATTCTTACTATTTTGTACTTTTTAGGAGAACAAATACTATTGATAGCTAAATAAAAAACATGACAGTACATGCAATAAAGTTGGTCACTTATGCTGAAAAGTGCACCCATGAAAGAGTGAGAGAATAATTTATAATGCTGATAAAAAGTTTACCTTGATTGATAGAGTACTGATTTTGTATACGACTCTAACTGTTATATTAAATGTTAAGGTTACTTTGAGAGTGTGTTGATGGATGTAATGAGCGAATGATTTTTTGAATTACAGCCTAAATGCTTGTTATCTAAGCAAGAACGTGTACAACGTCGTCACGTAACAGCAAAAATTGCTCATACCGCCACTTTATCGAACTGCAGCCTCAAAACGATAGGACAGGATATATCGTTACTTTTTTCAAAAATACAATATAAAATTATTGTGACTACATAGTATGTATTGGCAACAGAGATGTTAGCTTTTCATAATTGATCGGCAAGAAATCCCAACACTTTTGTCCAGTAAATATATAACCACAAACCAAATAAAAATTTAAAATGAATGATTGCTAAACATCTCCTCGTAAGCGACGCGCTCAGTTTAATAATCTATTTCTCTTGTTACATTAACACCCAAATTTAACAGTTTCCAAACAAATAGTTTAATTCTCCGCAATAGAACTGGTAACTTGGTCTTTTCACCGCCTTAGGAGAGACAATTAGTCAAATAAGATGTATAAGATGTGATACATGTGTAAAGGTGCATGTACTGATAGCCGATGTGGTTGTAGAAAGTCAAAAAGAAGTGTACAACAAAATGTCATAAGGGTAGTGTTGGCTTCTAATTATTAAGAATAATTATGCAAATATTTTTTATCGATTTACGTACATTTACTCACTGCTATTCATGCGTTTGACGTAAAAAAACCTTAACAACATTTCTCAGAGCAAATAGAATATTTCAACAACTATTCGCGTCAAGTAGGTTAAGACAATCTGGACTGGTTTCATTAAGAAATTATACGTATAATTGCACATTCGAATTTATATTTCTTATTTACACCACAGTTTCCGCTTCCAAAACTCTGTGACAAAGCTCTAATCGCCACATCTCATAATAATCAACTTACGTTGACTTACCTATGTATCGTTACAGGGGGATTATTTCAACAAAATTTTTGACCATTTGAACTTTGGATACGGTGGCTCAACTGATGTAAATGACAGACAATGCGTCTATCAGATATACCAATGAGATAGAGTTAAGCTATTCTTCAACTTAAATTTTCGCCAATACTTGTCCAGTCAACAATCGCACAAAAGCAATTAATCGTTTATTTTAGCTGTGACTTCTCTTAAGTTAAATATAGTAATAGCTAATGACATTTAAATTAGGCTTTACTGCTCACGACCTAGTATTGATTGGTAGACACTAATAATCTCTTTCAATGGGATTAATTCGAAAGCCTATATTAATATGTTGGTTACACTCATCGTAATGCCACGAAAATATCCACGGGACAACTCCTTGACCTCGTTATGTTCTGGTACGGACAACAGTAGTTATTGTAGTAGTTCTTAAAGTATTTCCCGAGCTTCTATATCTTGAACGAATCGAATAGCCCATTTTTGCTTGACTCAAAGGCTGTATAGATACATCGATAACATGACGATAGAAAATTCTCGCAATGTATATTTTTTAACCAGCAACATAACATTTTGTTTCTAACCGTGATTATCAAAGCAATATGTCTTTATTTGGACAATAAAAGATGCGAGTTACAGCCGTTATTCATTTGAACAGCTGGCCCTAATTCGCAGACCATCTTCTAGCGCGAGATTGCAGAGCTCAAGCGCCGCCTCGAAGACATGACACTAGACTCAGCAGAGTGTCTGGAGCTGGCAGAAACAATGGCACTAAGTTTCTGTTAACCCTTCTATGTAAACAGCCTGGGCAGTTGACCTTGTCGATACTTAACTTTGTCCTTTTCAATAGATCATCCAGAACCTTCAGGACAGAGAAGAACCTGGCAAGAGAAAGCGATCTGGAAAAATGACAATGAGCAGGCGCGGGTATCTCTACTCCTTGAATATGAAGGGAGTCTGAGCAATTTTTCCCGTTCTAAGATCGGGTCATCGGGTGGCCCAATGGCTGTGAATCTATGTGCTAGGGGCTGATGGCCTTATGTCACTCACTATCACAAGAGTTCTTTATCTTTACAGTTCTGCAACAGGGACATATGCAAACACATAAAAATTATCTATGGCGAGCAGATTTGCATAAACGACCTGGGAGAACTCAAAAGACTCGTACAAGCAGTGCTGGTGCACGTTGACCAGGTTTTCATGGATTAGTTACCTACAAAGTAAGCCAAGCATGATGAATTGTTGTGCATAATTGCTTCTGACCTTACATATCATGACAGAACTCAAAAGTATGCATAGTATCACAATGTGCTTTCCTCTTGAGGAAGCAATACTTTTATTATTTGATTAGTAATGGTCAGTCCCTAACGTGTAAGACCTCAAAAACTCAATCCCTAACGTGTCGATAATCAGATAGGGACTATAGATTCAACTTGAAAGTTGAGAGGGGATAACTCCCTTAATTCTGCATACCAAGTACACACTGTACATTTGATTATAGGATATAGTTTCTGCTTCATCTTCACCAGAAAAATTATCAGCCTTTCATCTACATTAATAAATGCAAACATGATTGTTCTGTGTGGTATTCATATGACAACATGTATTTAGTTTGAATTGTTCTTTTATGACTATTGATTATAACAATGAAGTTACATATAATATAATTTGAAATTCCTGAACAATGGTCATACTAACAACGAGAATTAATATTAATATTAGAAAATAGACTGTTAAGATGTTTTATAAATAAGAAAGTAAAATATAGTTTATGCTTAGTAAGAAACACAAGGGTTACTGCTTTATAAATCTAGGCTACCTTTATTGTTATCAAATTTGCGGTAATACATAGTAGCAACTTTTACAACGATGTTATACCGAAAATTATATAGAACTTTCTTATAAAGAGGAAACCTGGATATAACAAAAACCTGCTATAACGAAGAAGGGCGAAACGGACCAGTTCTTTATATCCAGGTTCACTGTGTATTTGAAAGTTTAGCAACCGAGCAATAAACACTGCATATTGGAAAGATACAGTGTGTTACAAAAAAGCAAAAGAACTATTTATTGTTGTGCTACAACTGTTAGAATGAATGAGCTTTATACTTTATTTAATAACTTATGAGCAGAGGTTTTATTGCCATAAATTTAATAGAGCTTTTCCCCCCACAAATACATCCCATTAATTGACTTACGTTATTAATTATCGATTGATTACATTTTATCAGAAATAGAATTTCAATCTTCTATTATAACCGCACTAACTTTCGGGCATACTTTCATACATTGTATTTTTGGCCAAATGTTATAAATTTTCTATGGAATTTAGAGCTTAACTATTGGCAGGCCACTAATGGTCTTGCACTGTAAATTCAAACTTGTGACAGCAAAAAGCTAGGACAAATGTTGAAACTTTTTTGACAGTTTAAAAACAACTGTTTTGTTTACATCAAAATGCCCCGCATATAGCGTTCGAAGAGCTTCTAATTTTTGGTGACACATTTTGATTAACGATAATATCTTCATAACAATAAGTCAATATTGCATTAATTCTCTAAATTGTGGGTTGCATATTAATATGCTTCTAATTAACCAATTGAACTTCCAAGGGCGACAAATATATCAATATTACTGTACAGAATTTCTATTATTCTAATTCACTAGCTGTATTAGTATACGTCATGCATCTCCGTTAAAGTTTATGATTATTATAACATTGTGGCATTTCGAATAAAAAGTTACCCAGTAGCACATATTAAACCAAATAGAATTTAGATACAAAAGCTCTTAACTATTGTTTTGCTAATAAGCATGACTTTAGCGAATAGAATGTGCAGAAGAATCTTTGACTGATAATAATAATAATTGCTTACAATATCGTTCTTATTGTTGCCTTTGTGTAGCCCCCTACTACTACTACTACTACTACTACATGCCCCTTAATGTTAAATAAATATAAATGCTTTCCTTTCCATCTTGCACTACTACTACAAATATTGACCAAGAGTATGTGTTCTGCATTTCGATATGTGTTGATGGGGTATCTATTAGTTTGATATATAGATATTTATTTAATCTCTGAAGTTCAATAAACAAAAGCAATCTGATGTCCGATTGTTCTAACTTGGCTAGTGACCATTCATTGTGAGGACAACTTTAATAGTGAGTGTGCGAATAATATCCATTTTCCGAATCACAGGATCAACAGACATTAAGATGATAACCTAACCCACACGTGCAATTGAGAGCATTTATCGGTGTTCAACACCTTTTTTAAACAAGAATTCTGGTATCTTTCGTCACCATGCGACAGTCAAAGTCCCATAACTTACGGAACAGGCCACAGCTGCGAAACACCTCAAAAACACGAAAACGACACGTGCGAAAGAGGTCAAAAACTGACGAGTTGTCGGATCACGTAGTTATAGATGATATTTTTTCGCCTTTACATAACGCCACCCGACTTAGCGACGATAACGACTCCTCCGATGATTCCGAATTGTCGTCCTGGGGTTCCTCGAGTGCACAAAAGAGGCGGAAGCCGCGCCAGTCCGTCTCTGCAGAGATTCAGCAAGAGGCGACTGTGGAAGAAGTGCAAGCCAATAATCAGAATGAATCTTCGTCGCTGTCTTCTAACACTTTAACAAAAGAACAAAACGGGGATAGCTGGCGTCGAAGTACGCGTCTTTTGCACAGGGCTGAGGATACATCTCCTGAAAAACAAACAGATTCTAAAGTACAGGAGGACAGCGAAGGAGTCTCAAAGAAAGCAAGGAAGAGCACAAGAGGTAGAGGTAGAGGTAGGGGGAAAGGAAGAGGCAAGGGTAGAAGCAGAGGCAAAGGCAGGACCAGTGGGGGATCCGCGACAAGGCCAAAAAATAAAAAGAAAAGTATTTCTCTCGTTGGATCAAACTTGGTGAAGCTGAAGCAGAGTTCAAAGCTAGCATTGGATTTTCTGTTAACGAGCTCTCAAAGTGCATTGGTGCACACTAATTTATCGGTATGTATAGATACTAGTTGGTTTATCTTGCGCTTGTCGATGGAAAGACTGAATACTTCCAGTTGGCGGTTGAATGAATAATTTCAGGTTTAATGTCGATTACGTTCGATTCATCATTCTATATACAGAACATAGTCAACGAAGCAAATTACACACGAATGACAGATGAACAAAAGGCACGTCTACACAGACTTATCCCGAGTATCGATCTGGTGCCTGTTGGTACATCTTCACAAGGCACTCTTGATCTCGGTGCGACTGTTATGGAACTTGAGAAATCATGCAAAGATTATGACAACAGCGTACAGACAAAAGTCGAGCATATGGGAACCAGCGACTCGAACGATCAGAAACCTGCACCTAGCGTAATGGAGGAGGCGAAACCTATAAATATCAATGAAAATGATGCGAGCACAACCCCCCCACATCAGCCTACAATCAAACATGTCCTAAGACCCTATTTTTTCCACGATGTTATATACAAAGAGTGCGTTACTGAGTTTCAGGAGCAGCTGTACAATGGAGAATGTACAGAAGAATATAAAGCAACAGTTCGTAAGGCAAGGGAGGATTATCTGAATTCGGACGTGGTTGAGCCGTGGAAGGTACCTATTTTCTTTAAAAGTGAACGGGCGTATTATCCCGAATACTAGAAAAACTGATCACTTGTAACGGGAATCTTGTTCGCAATCTAGGATTTGGAATTTGAAAAACAGTGGGGCGACCTCAGTTTTGATCCTCGGACTCAAATTGCTGGAGATTCTGCTTCTATTGCCTTAACTGACATGGCTCTTGCAAGTACGTGTGTCGTATGTAATTGGTCTAATTATGCTTGTATTGCAGACGATATAATATCATCCTTGTCTTTTTTAGAATTAATTCGTGAGAATGACATACTTTTCTATGAACGATGTTTTAACAAAGTTGATGTAAAAGTCGTATCACGAGTCCGAGTAAGTCAATCAAAAAAACATCTATGAGGCATACATGTACTTGAGAATTTCATGTTCTGTTCGTAATGCTATTTATTTTGTTCATCTTGATTCAGGTAATCTCTATAAATAAGAGGAGTGGAGCACTTACGGTTGTTGACGAAAAGGATCCGGCCTTAGTCTTCGATGATATAGTTAAACCAACCGCACTTGAGACGCAAATAATAGACGAAGATGGACGGGTCCCGAAGGATAGACGACCGAACGGAAATGCATTTCGATCGATAAAACTAATACGGAATGGCAAAAATCTTGGGTCGCTTTTTCATATAAGAAAGGAATACTTTTATAAGGCGATTGGTGGACAAAAAGATTAGAGAACGTGGGTGGACGCGTCGGGTGTATGAGGTACGGATGATTTCATGAGACGAGTTGGGATTAAGTAATAAACGAGCGGGTGAAAAGGAGTGCGTAAATAGATTCGGTGGATTGTGGCAGAAATCAACGTACACATGAGGGGATAACTTACATGTATATAAATCTGTACGTAAATATCACGTAATTGTAAATTCTTTTATAAAAAGTAGTAAACTGGTATGATGTTTTTTACTGCATCCGTATAATATAATCCACAAATTGCAATGATAAGTTACAAATGGTAGTTTATGTATTGGTCAGTGCCCCAGTACGCTGCTTACCATCTGGAGCTTGCAAGAGTAAACAAGATGAGATGTGTGTCGAATCTAAATACAAAAGAAAATATTGAATGATAGATATACTAGAGAACTAGTTATGAATATTGATCAAGCAGATCGAGTGTCTCATCGTCTCATCAACATCTACTTTCTTCGTGATAAATCTCTAAATGCTGAATCGATGCAATTCTTAATCTCTCTATATGATACTATGAGACAGGATTGTTCATCCCTTGATACAAGCATAATTTTTTCATCTACGCCAGAGTCCAACTAAAGAGAAAGCAAGATATTAGATATGAGAGCGTAATTGGAACTAAGCCAAACGTAAGCGGCAATATGAATATCATGTTACCTTATTCAGGCACATCAAAACATGTGACATATCAACAACAGGATATCCGTTCTTGTCCACTTGGTGAAATACATAATCCCTAAAGAGCTTAATCAAGTAGCGATCCCCTGTTTCTGACCAGCTAGGATCCATATCGAATCTATTCATGATGGCAATCATGTATAACCGTCGTTTAATATTTACCATACTATCAATTCTACCAGACACCCAAAATGAAATCAATACTTACTCTGGTCGTTCGTTGATGAATCCAAATTTGCACAAAAGCCGCACCAGTCTTCCGTTTTCCAATTCATGACTCAATTCACTCTCCAAAAAATCATTATAACTTGTTCAGAATAAAAAGCTAATTGTAAGCAACACGAACAATTCCGAAACATCTGTTACCCGTTTCATGGAATGCTCCTACTCACTTGTGCGCACTGTTAATCTCATGCAACAAGCGTGGTCCAATCATCGCGACAACATCATCAATCGATTTCACGGGAGATGGGTTGCTCAGCAAGTACAGAATGACATTCTTGAGGTCCGGAGAATATTGTCTAGAAATGAAGTCTATTGACTTTTGAAGATTGTGATTGCTAGCATGTGGATGACATGCGAGTGAGACAAGAAGTTGTCCAAAGCTCAACAAGTCTTCTTGCTATAAGAAAAGAAAAACAACAGCGCAGTCAGTTCCGGTGAAGAATCACTAATCGTGTCCGTTATATGCTTAAACAGACCTGATAATGTGGAAGGTTTTTCCCTCCATCGTAAGTCAACAAATCCATTATCCCGCAACAGTTCAATCGTATGCTGAACTCCACACAAAATAAGTAACATTTCTCGAATGTATGTTTTGTCTACAAAAAAATCTTAACTCACCGATTCTTACTAGTTAATAAAATCTTGGTTGGCTCTATCGTTCGCACAGCTAAACCTGAAGAGTGTATTGTCTTGATTGCCGCTGCTATTTGGCATATATAACTCCACACCAACTTTTCGGGAATGGCGAGACCGTTGACAGATGACGGATGCATTTGTGATTGCGGCGAAAAATGTTTGTTGAACAATGTCTGGGAAAGCGGATGGTAATCGTAGACGAATACCAGCGCTAAAAGAGAATTATAATATTAGAATTAGATGTCCGAGTTTGCAGCTTTTGGCTACATTTGTCTGAGAAGGAAATGGCTATATTATTCTTACTCACAATGATCTCCAAACGCTTTGGTAGTGAACGCTTCCCGTATCGAAACAACGTTTGCGTGTCGTATTCGTCGCCAGTTTTCGATCGTCGACATTGCAATTTCGTTTGTCAACCTGTACCCTGACATGCGAATACAGAATAAGAAACGCGCCCTATTGTTCACCAGGTTTATAGATATTCGACCATTTACAACGCACCTTCTATCCGTCTCAGGCAATACACTCGTCCATCTACAGTGCAGACACTTTTGTAAACTGACGTGGGATATCCAAAAACCTTGCCCAAGCTTTCCGACAAGCTTTCAAGAGGGTACAGTGAATGATATACATGGATTTCCTCGGGCAGATTATAATCTTGAGCTAACAAGTGTTAATATCATACAACTAAACAATGAATAGCAGACGTAGTCTGTGCTCATGAACTAAAGATACCATTAACAGTCTGCAATGTTGCTTCGTTCTTTCTCTGCAGATCCTCGCGTAAATTATCTGACATGAAAAATGCATGAATGGTCTTCTGATGAGGATGCAAGTTTGAGATATGCGGCAGTGGAGATGTATACAGATGATACTGCAACTACATACAATCAAACACAATGAGTTTTATATTCCGTAAGATTATAACAGAAAGATGCTTGAAGAATACCATACTGGAGCAGGAAGTAACCCTGACTGATTCTGATAGAAGAGCGAATCTACTTGAGATAGTTGCGAGAAGTAGCTTGCATTGCTCGTATTATGAGACGAAGGTTGCGATCGGGAGGATGAAGCTGAAACAGAGTAATTTGACGCCTATAAATTTGTTAAATAGTTAACAATTGTTGCTTTCACAGATAATGCCTTAACTAACACCTGATACCTAACACTTACGTTTAAACTCAACGAGGCGATCGAACCAGCCAAAGCATTAAATGTATTATTTGTTATATCTCTGGTCGACATTAGATAGTTAGGTGTCGTCTGAGCTGGGAAATAATTCATTTGTTGATCGAACATCGAAGCACTTCCCATCCAGGAATATAATACAAAAATAATTTGCAAAAAATGCTATATCTTGTCTGCTTATAATAGAAATTAAAAGACAACCAAACAAAAAAGAAATATTATATTTGAAACCATACTGTTGTTGATCATCCCGATCATAGAATTGCTGCTGATCGCTCGAGCCTTGGTAAGGGGAAATCGAGACAAGTAAGCAAACAAGAGGCAATAGGGAAAAAGTATACATTGTAAATGAGACTGAAATTTTACCATTCTCAGATTTTGGACCTTCTGATGAAGCTACTACAATATCATTCCAAGAACTAAGTTTATAATCAAGACACAAGTCAAAGCCGATACTAATGCATAATTGTATGCTGACCTTGACTTTGCTTAGGAATAAACGGCGGCGCATTTATAACCTCGGGTGAAATAGAAGATATGTTGCCTGATGGCTTAAACACTGGCGAATGGACACTTAATTTCGATTTAGGTCTAATACGACAGAGTTTCATGCTCAAAAATCAGATATCCCGTCGAATCCTGGAATTGAAAGACAGATTTACGTTCACTTACGTTTCAGGACTTGGGGGCGGTGAAGTAGTTGATGGTTTATTCTAAACAATTAGTGTGAAAGGAGAAAACGCTTGTTAATAGAAATATCTCTATATATTATTTACATTTTGAATGTCATTGATTCACATACTAACTGTTTAATGCAAATAAGTTTTAGGCAAACGTTTTGCGCAATGCAATTCACTTACTAAATCATGATTAAACTCGCATCCTTTGCCTTCGTATTTGCAATTTCCGTGTATGATCAAATTACGACATGTCCGTACTTTTGAGCTAGAATTAGCACTATCTATGGCAACCAACACAAATGTAAACTAAATAGTAATGCACGCTTTCAAGCAAAGCTTTCCTAATTCTTAATGATCAAACTCGCGTAACTCCACATACTCTTATTCGAGTTATTTTTTGAAATAATCTTCTCAGCCGTAGGAGCAACAATCGGGACAGCAGCTGATCCCGACGGAATTGTAAACGAGGCCATGATCGTCTGAGATAAAGAGGCTGACAACCTTTCGCATTAAATCAAGCCAATGTCACGACGGTTGCTCAAATGTGAACATCGCTTGGACACAAATAAAAAAGTATATCTAATAAGTACCAAGTCAAAAACTTTCTCGTTGGCGAGACAGAATTTACGTCACGTGAATGTACAAGATACATAATCATGTGCATTTAGATAATAAGAAAACTTGAGAATTGCACATTTTCTTCAACATAATATAATATAATATGAGCAGAAACCAGCAGCAAACAGAAGCAACTGAAAATCATCCAAATGATGGTGAAGTCGAATCAGTAGTAGCAACAAAGAATGAAAAGGATTCATTAGACAGTGCTGATGGATCTCGGGATCAGGCACACGCGCAGGAAATATATGAAGTTGGCTCTGATCAGTCGCAGGATACTCAGACTCCCTTCCCAATGCCTGGTTTTAAGAAGAAAACACGCCCGGCTGAAACCAAGGATCTTACAACTAGTCCCGATTCGTCTAAAGACAACGAGACTCCGTTCCCATTACCTGGTTATAAGAAGAAGACTATAGTGGCAGGAACAGGTATAGATGCAGTGCGTCCATCTGGCGTGTTACTAGATTTTTAGGTTTAAAATAGAATAATGGTTTAACAGCCGTCCTTTTACTCACTACCTAAAGTATCTCCGTCACCACCTCCACTACCATCTTCACAGAGTCATCCTGTAGCCCCGCCTCTCAACTATGAGGAACCGGATTGGAGCGATTTACCGCAAGATTCATACTCCATGGAAGTTATCAAGGGCGGCATAATTCTTGAAAACGTTGATCTGCCAAAGAAAAAATACATTACTTTTGGTAAAGTTTCCTGGTATCTGGTCGTAATAATAAAAAAGCATATTTATTAACATTTACTGTCATCAAGGACGACTTCCAATCTGCGATATCCAAATGGAAAATCCTGTAAATATGTTTTGCTTATTGAAAATTGATTACATCTGAATGAATTCAAATGTTGAGTATTTTTATTGCCAGTCTACTTCTAGATATCACGCTATCATTCAGTTTAAGAGTACAGGTTGTATATTGTATTGTGAAATTCTGCTACATTTTGTTCAGACATGCTGATTGCATAGCTGATATCTGATTTGTTATAGGACAGGTTTATTTGTATGATTTGGACAGTGCCCACGGGACAAAAGTTAATAAGCAACGACTTCGCCCTCGTAATTATGTGGAATTACGTGTTGGGGATCAGATAAAATTTGGAGAAAGTACTCGAACTTACATTCTACAAGGACCCGAGCCCGCACCAGCTGTTCAAGAACCAGAGAAAAAAATTGAAACATCAGCGCCACGCGGATATCTACCAAAGTCAGCTATTGAAAGTACAGGCGTTACTTGGTAAGCAATTTAGATGCTTGAATGTTACAACATATCCTAGATGCTCAATGTCTGCAGGGGTTTTGGTGAGGATGCTGAAGAAGATGACTCGGAATCCACCGAACAGTTGACAAGTCCATGGCAGCGTGATGAAACTGCATACTATTACAAAGACCCTAAAAAGGCTCTGAGAAATTGGCTCGAGGTAATTTTTTATAATCAGTAAGTTTCAATTTACCCAACCCAGTTGTCTCATTTCTTTATCATAAATAGAATCGCGGGTTTCCGCTCGAATTTGAATATGAAGAGGAGGGTCCAATACATCAGCGAAATTTTACTGCACGGTAACGTATCAGCTTCATAAGTTAACAATATTCGTAACTATTGTTAACATTCGTGTTCGTCAATGATGTTTGACTTTTATTGTACAGAGTCCGATTAGCGGACGTCGAGGATTCTTATGGGCAGCTGTATGGTATTGGAACTAGCACAAAAAAGAGGTTTGTTGTTAGACTTCATATCATTGCCACTTGGTCTTCAGTTGAAGTTGACCTTTTTTCTTGCATGCAATACAGAGAAGCAGAAAGAATAGCAGCTGTTGACGCTTGTGAGAAGCTCGACAAATACGGAATTTTGCGTTCAGGGCGTGACGCTGATGCAGGTTTAATACGAGCACATTGTATTATGAAACCTCAAGCAAAATTGGTCGGACATTTATCATAAGTTTTGCTGTTATACCGTTAGTGGCTAGAAAAGAGCGATTAAAGCGCTTATTAGGCGACGACGACGATGACGATGATTATAATGATGATTTCTATGACCGTACCGAGAGAGGTAATTAAGCCAAAATTGATTTACAGTACAGTATTATTGAGCTATATCTCATCTTTTGACCGTATATGGACAGCCAAAAAAACTAAAAAACGTAAAGAACACAAACCACGAGTAGTGCAGCCAAGGGTCGAAACGTACGAATCCCTCACAAGGCAACATGAAGAACTTGCCATCAAATTGAAAGAAGCTCGACGCAAACTTTCTCGGCTGACTGTTGCTGGTATTTATTTTATTTATATGCTAGTAATTACTTGGAGATTGCCTTCATTACGATAACTCACATATTGTCATTAAGCATCATCAAAGTCTGCTGATATAGCTGGAGAAATGGATCTAGATTCATACATGGCACAGATCGATGAAGACATAAACGATGAATCTAAAGCGAAGCTCGAGGCAGAGCTGGAAGACTTGTTGAAGGTGGGTTTCGATAAATTTTATCATGTGCACGATAAAATCACTTAACTAACTGACACTATTACATCCTGTTATAACAGCAAGACCGGAGTTTGTTGCGTCTTATTGAATTGGCCAAGCCAATGGATTTTTTCACAAATACATCTGGCCGATAATTTAACCTGGTTCCAAAACAAAGCGAGCTTCATAAATGTAAACTCATAAATACACTCAATCGTCTGCTCAGCCTAAACGTAGGACTCATTACCCTCATTGTTCGCAATTTGAATGGATCGAATCCTATCCACAGATTTTTGCTATACCATGACTGTACATGAAAAATAGACAAATGAATGTGAACCTTTTAAACTGTTGAATGCTACAAATTGAAAGTGGCCTGCACTTTCGCTCACCTCAATCAATATGTTTGTTTTTGGCTGGTTTTAAATTTGTTTGACAGGCTTTGATGTCTCCTATGTACTACATTCTATATACTAAAACCACAACCATCTTAACTCTTTCAAGTATATTAATATGTGATTTGGTGCACATCATTAATAATCGTTAGATCATCAATTCCTACATCCACATGTTGATGTAAACGGCGATTTTGTAAAATGGCGATTTGATCATGTGATCGCTGCGGAACTGAGATAGAGTGATGATCATTTCGATTGCGTTACCGAAATCCAAGTCTGAAACGATTAATTTATATTTACTTTTTTATTGGACATTAATTAACTGCGGTAGTTAGACCATATTGTTTTATTTAAATAAATAACATTGATAACATTATTACTAACTATTACTATAATAAAATGTGAATGTGTCTGATTCCTATCCAAAAACTTGAAAAAAAAATTTTTGGTCACCAATGGTAACAAGTATACAGATGCAATATAATTCTTACAAATTTGTTAATAACCAGTTTTATATGACTCAACTTTTTCCCTTATTTTTTTCTTTACTTCTGACCCATTTCCATAGAAAATGTACACCTTATTTCGTGCTTTACTATATCCTTGTTCAGCTGCCTTTTCATAAAACTCAAGTGCCTTTTTAATATCAGCTTCTACCCCA